ACAGTTAGTGTGCCGGGGAGGAGCACACTGTCCCGGCCTCTGGGCTGGTTTGCCAGGAGCTCTTCGGGTCCTGGGTGCTCCCTGCCTTTCCTGGGAGGTGAGGGTGATCAGAGCTCGATGTCATTTCAAAGGAGCACAGAAGGAATTAAACGGCTACTTTGACTTAGACCTCGGCATCTGGCTTGTTCTGGCAGCACTGGACTGTTTCTTCCTGAACTTTGGACAAATTCTCCAAATTCTATTTGGGAATTCATTGTATGCAACAGTTAAGATGGCTGTCAGCTAATGTTTTCTCTTTTCCTCTGTTTCCTAAGCATCAGGCACTGATACTGGGATTATAGGATACACATGCACTCAAGGCGTGAGACAAACACCGGTCGTGGGCCTCACACAGTTTATTTAACAACAGGTAATGAGAAACTTACTGCACAGGCTATATAGTGATCCAGAGTTCCCAGGTAGAATAATCAGCTTTGATCCCATGAATAACATCAGGTGATGGTTTTTGGTTTCTATTTTAAACTCTTACAGAAATTGTGTGGTGGAGTTGGGCAGAGTGAGGAGAAGAAAGCAAGCAGAGACCTCAGGAAACCACTTTTCAGGTGAAACATCTCACCAAATTCATTTCTCACCCTCTTTTTCATGTTTTTCTTTCTGTCTTTCTTTCTTTTCTTGGTACCGAGGATCGAACTCAGGACCTTGCACTTGCAGGGCAAGTGCGGTGTCACTGGGCTAAACCCCAGCCCCATTTTGTCCTTTCTTACATGTAAAAATAACTAAAATATTTTTTTCAGGAAGTACCAGGGCAACTGAGCCACTGAGCAACTTAGCAAAACCCTGTCAAAACAAGATAATTAAAGGGCTAAGGATTTAGCTCTATGTGAAAGCCCTGTGTTCAAACCCCAGGCCCCACCCCAAAAGATTGATCATTGTGCCCAGGGGAAAAAGCTGATATTTAATATGCTTATATGTGTAGAATGTAATGTTTTTTGGTGCCGGGGATTGAACCCAGGACCTCACAATTGCCAGGCTGGTACTATGTCACTGAGTTACATCCCCAGCTCTGTAGAATGTAATTGTAAAGTAACGTTAGACATTTTTATCTTATGGTTTTAGGGGAAGAGAACTCTTCCATATTGTGAGGAAAATAAGGAAGTGTATCAAAACCTTCACCACAAAATAACTATTAATATTACATATCTGCATTAATTAAAAAAAAACTAGTAATGTTTGGAGGTGCAAGGCAGGAGGGTGTGGGGCTTCAGACCTCAGCCTCCTCCAGGCACACGTGAACCACACACAGGGAAGAAGGGCTGGCGAAGCAGCCAAAGCAGAAATATATTCTTCGTATTCTACCATCCCTCAGGTTCACCTTCCAAGTTTGCTTGAAACCTCAAATGTTTGCTTGTAAAGTGAAAGTTTCAAGTCTGCGTGAAACCTACAGCACGGTTCTCACGTGTTCCGAGGAAAAACATTTTTAGGCTGCCAAAGATTCTAAAAAATGGCTGTCAGTACAAATACATCTAGTGAAGAAAAAATGGTGCACCTTGAAGCTTTGTCATGCTAAGTGGCTAGCGAGCTGAGAGAACATTGGATTCTGGCCTGGGCTGGCAAAATGCCCTTGCTCCATGTGGTTGGCGGTCTGGACAGTAGCCAGACCAGGATGTGGGGAACGCGGTGTGCAGGCTGAAGTTGCCTTCTCAGGGTTAGTGATGGGCTGGGTGGGGGAGTTGGCTGTGGCCTTGGAGAAGGGGCGGGATGGGGGAAATGAGTTTGATGGGAGAACTGGGTATCGCCTTGGAGGTGCGGGGACTGGGCCTGGTTTGGAAGCATGTGCTGCTGA